TGTATGTGCACAGAGAAATCAAATGAAAAATGCTAACAGATGATCTAAATGAAGATTATAGTATTCAGTTATCCTTCTTGAACTTGTAAGTTTGAAATTACAAAAAATAGAGTTGAAGATAAAAGACAAAACTTCAAATTTTCTGTTTTTAATAGCTAATAGACATTTCCAACACTATCTTTTCTAACAAATTGAATAAAAAAGATATATTCTTTTTAGTGCCTTTATAAGAAGTGAAGTCACTCAGTCCTGTCCAACTCTTTGGGACCCCGTGGACTGTAGCCTACCAGGCTTCTCCATCCATGGGATTCTCTAGGCAAGAATACTGGAGTGGGCTGCCATTTCCTTCTCCAGGGGATCTTCCCGACCCAGGGATATTCTTCAAATGGTTCCCAAAAGTGTGTGTGTATGTGCACAGAGAAATCAAATGAAAAATGCTAACAGATGATCTAAATGAAGATTATAGTATTCATGGGACCCCGTGGACTGTAGCCTACCAGGCTTCTCCGTCCATGGGATTCTCTAGGCAAGAATACTGGAGTGGGCTGCCATTTCCTTCTCCAGGGGATCTTCCCGACCCAGGGATCGAACCTGTGTCTCCTGCATTGGAGGCAGATGCTTTAACCTCTAAGCCACCAGGGAAGCCCATAAATATAAGTTAACTCTACTTGTAATCAAACAGTATTTGTTGACTTTTTAAAAACTGGGTATAAAACACAGCAGAAAATAACCCATAATGTATCCAAGGAATATAGCTTGAACTTTATTATATGCTATGGGAATTTTAGTAAAATTCACACACTGTCCTTTATTTTTAAAGAGCTTCAAATGTGCTGAAACAGATAAAATTCAATGTCCAGTTCCAATGGATTATTAAGAGTACTCTAAATACTGAGTAAACTTGCTCTAAGATAGTACATATTTAACTGAAATTCAACTCATTCTAATATATATGATTTCACCATTAAGTGCTTCTCCCAGCCCACTTAAAAAGATTTTCAGAAATTTTTATCTTGATATAGTCCACTATGAATGCACTGACGCTGCATCATGAAGACATTTCACTTCCATGAATCCAATCATAAGCCCTCGGAGGAAAAAAATCTGAGGATTTCAACAACATAGACACCATTTCACTAAATAAGCATGCCCTACCCAAGAAGCACTAAGCAATATAAGGGAGCTGTCCAGTAACAAGCATTTCTCCCTGTGTGTATCTAACCAAGCTCTGATCCTAGTATTTAAAAGTATTTTTGTGTAACAAAGCCCCAAATGCAAGCCAATTTCTTCATCTGTGCTCTAGCTAAAGATATTTATTTTTGGAATTTCTGAAGGAAAAACTAGCTATTTTATACTTCTATGAGATGAAACGAATGAATGGAAACCATACTTCATGATCACTTATCTATCACTTTAAGGGATTTTTAAGGTAATCTGAACCAAAATCTTTGGGGGGTGGGGCATCATGTGTGCTACATTCACAGTTTAACTTAATCCTAACACACAACTCCAACATAAATATATTCTATTTCATTATTATAGCAAGAACACGATACATGATAAAGTGAGGATGACTTGTTTCCAAAGGCTACATCCAGAAACAGAAGCCTTTTGCTATGCAATGACACAAGGCATCTTTCGGCATTTTTGAATCCTCAATACTTACTAAGCTCTGAATCCTATAGAGTAGAACAGTTTTAATACTTCTTGGTGATTGCCAAAGCAACATCAGGTAATCCCATAAAACTGAGCCTCCTCCTTACCTGAAACATGTATTTTTAAATACAACTATTTTTATAATTTTATTCTCTTGTGTCTTATTTTTATAATCCTTAACCTTGATATTTTAGAACTCTTTTCTTAAAAAAAAAAAAAAATAAGAGCTGAAAAAAGTGTTCAAAAAAAAAAACACAAAAAGTTTATAAAACTCTTTAAAAAGCTCAAAATCTATTAAAAAAATCAAGTGTAATAACTTTTAATTTTCAGAATGGGGTATAAACATTGGGAAGATTGATATGGAGATTACTTGTCTAGTATCAACCTAAAGTCACAGATGCAAGAAGCTTCTGTGACACCAGGATATAATTCTCTAAAGCCCACTTTTTCATGGTGTACACTCTATTTTCTTTTAAAAGATCTGCACAGAATAACAAATATCTTGTGTACTAAAATTTAAAAAGGATCGTATAGATCTTTGAATTAAAGTCATAAATCTAAGAATCATGGTTGAATGATCTTACCTGAAGCACACACGTTCTTTATAAAATTCTAAATATAAAGATGTTGCTGGAAGCATTATTTACTTTTTCAGCTTGCTTCAGTAAAGTGCCTGAGCCTGGGAAGAACACTGTACCTTCAAAATAAGGCTGACCTTCAAAATAAGGCTGACCTTCAAGGGCCAAATCTTTGTTTCATCATAGACCTCTTCAAAAACCTAATGAAAGCTAAGAAGACTCTTCGCAGAAAATCTCATACGTGCACATACGCACAAAATTTTAACACAATGTTGAAGGAAGGAGTCATCATAAAATCTCCCAATCCCAGAGAAATAACTGCTATCCCTAATTATATGGAAGACAGCCTTAAAACCTAATGCTCTGGTATTCATTCATACACACTATGATGAAAATAAGAAAGGTATCAATCAAACAGGCATGTGGAGTTTGAAGACATAGGTGAAGGCTACTCTGCGGTACCACATCTGTTCCGAGTGCAGAGCAGCCTGGTTCTGCTAATTCTCCATCCCTGCTCTACAACCCCCTCAGACATGAGACCCTGTACCATCTGATCTGTGCCATGACCTCCACCTCTTTTCATCTAGACTCTCTGCAAGCTTCTTTGATCCACTTCAGCTATTGACAAGTAACCATCCAGTCTGCCCAATACCTTTAGTAACACAACTTAGGGCTTCAGAAGGTAGGCCATTCCAGTTTTAGGCAACTCTGAAGAATTAAAAAGTTCTTTTCTAATCTGACGAGCCTGATTTGTAAATCAAAATGCCGTCCAGAATTTCTCCTCTATTTACTTCCCAACATGTAACAAAACAGCTTGCCATTCAAAGTATCTAATCCTAAAACCAGGAGCAAAAATTCATTAAGCCCTACTTTTACCAAAGGGGAAAGTCACAATTACGCTAAAGAACATTTTCTATTTGAAAATCAAAATCTAAGAGGATCAGTATTTTTCAGTTCAACAAAGATGTAAGGCTTTCATGTACACATTTCCTACCTTACTGGGTTTCTTTTCACTGCATAAAAAAATTTAAAATATATCAACATTAAAAGATTAACATTATAGTCACTGCAAATTAACATCAGTTCTGTCTGCAAATAGTTTATTCTCTGTATTTCTATTTATGCCTGTGATTCTATAATAAACAGCTCCAATCAATGCAACACAGTCATTATTTATTCATTAGATAAAGCCTGGCTTTCAAGAACTACAAGTTGTCTCAGTCACCTTCAACAGCTCCTTTTTCACAATATCTCTTATTGAAACCAGTGTATTAACAAGGCCCATTTGTCATACATAAAGCAATCTCTGAAGAAAATGCTTACTCCCTTTGAAGACAAAGGAAACACAATTTGATATTTTCTTCCTTAAACAATCCCTTACTAGGACAAAACAGACTCAGAAATATTTTGCACAGTGACTGACTTAGTCAAATCAGATAAGAACAAAGATAACTAACAGTTATGTAGGTAAACACACAGCAGAATCTCATTTTGAAAGGGCTAAAAAGCAGGGGAACTCCCTCCCAGGCTAAGTCTCAGAGAGCCAAACAATGCACATTCCTAAGGAGGCTACCCTCTAAGGAGCTTCTTGATGGTCTTTCAATAATTAAACTCCCTGCACTGAACCAAAAAAGGTCCACCTAAATGAATGCTGTCTTATACTGCAATTACATTGGGGCACAATTTCGGTAAGTTTATACGGTAGGTATACACTAATCCTTGGTAAAAAATACATTTCCTGATAAATAACCATTTTTCTACTTTTCCAGAGTGGCCTGAAGAAGGAATGCTGTGTTTTAGAAAGACACACACACAAAGCCTAAAAAGATAATGCTACACACTTATCAGAACTTGTACTACAAACAAATGACACATTAAAACTCAGGAACAGTCCTCCAAGCATTTCTCTTGTAATAAAAGCATCTATTGAATCGTTTTATTTGATTCTCCCAGCTGAAAATGGTTTCAGCCATCACAAATGTGTACTAAAAAATTTTCTTACACTTCACATTGTTAGATGTGCTAGTAAGACTGAATCAGTTTTAAAATCAATCAACTTAACAGTATTAAATCAATATTATTTGTATCTAAACAAATATTGCCAATCTCCACTCAATAATATCTGCTTTTTAAAATTCTTTCACTAGCTTGTCATTCACATAAAATCCAACGCTAGAAATAACTTAAAAGCACGGACTATTATAGACAGTCAAACACTGCCCCACCCCTTCTAAGAGTGGATGACTGGAACATTTTAATATACTCCATCACGTAGTAGCACAGCTACAAAACTTTCATATTAACACCAGAAGTTGAACATTTTCCAACAAAATTTAATTTTAAATAGATTTTGCATCATCTTCAATATCAAACGTCACCAACATTCAGGTACACTGAAGGTAAGGAACTGATAACCACAATCCCTATAATATAACCCTCTCAACCTTCACTTGCGCACTCTTCTCACTTCCTTTAAGAATTAAGGAGTTTTCTCTATTTCCTACGCAATTAAGAGTACTAGTTAGGAGACTGGAATCACCAAATTATTAAAATTTCAAAGAGTAACAATACAAAAAAGAGGCAAAGGGGAAAAGCCTATTTGTTTAACTATTAAGGGATCTTACATTAAGAAGAAAAAAAAAGGCATTTGCGGGATGCTAAGCAAGACTTCCAAAATTCACCCCTCCTCTCGCCTTAAGTCCCCCCCTCCCCACTCGCGCGCCCAGTCTGGGAAGTCTACTTTGACGCGGCCGGGATGCTACTCACCGAGTTTTTCCACCAATTTGAGCATCACCCCTCCAATGTGCACCTCCCCAGTCACTCTCAGGGTGACATCGCGGTTCAGGTCCGTCACATGAACGCTCAGTTCCCACGTCCCATCCGCATAGCAGCCATCTGGCATCCTTATCCCGTCCAGAGCCATGGCTCCTTCCTGCGAACACGGAGGAAATGGCTCTCGTCAGCGTCACTCCCCCAAAGGAAAGCAAATCCCACCGAACTCGCAGAGTCAGCCGCGGGTGAGAGAAGGCGGAGAAGGCGAGGGTTTCCGCACGAACTCGGGAGAGCCGGCGGCGAGGCCAGCTGCCGGCAGGACTCTGCGCCCCGCGCCCCTTCCCGCGGCCACCCCGGCACCCGCCCCGCGGCGGCCCTCGGCTAGAGCTGTGCGGGGGAGGCGGGGGCGCCCGCGGCGGCAGCAATCTCGGCCCCGCCGAGTCGCTGCCCTTTTATGGAAATGAAGGACCCGGCGTAGGGATTGAATCCAACATCCGGGATCTCGGCGGCGGGACCTGAGGAGGGGGAGCCCGGAGAGCGCGGCTGCCTCCCACCCGGGTGCGGGAGGGCGCCGGGCGCTCAGTTCCACGCTCGCGTCTCCGGCTCCGGGAGGGCTTGCAGCGGTGGGTGTCGGTGCTTCCAGCCGGAGGAGGGGGCTCGTCCGTGAGAAATGGCCACAGGAAATTCCCAGGGCAAGGTCGTTTTCGGTGAACAAAGTGCCCTCGCCCCCTCCCCACGGCTGGAGCGAGCCCAGAAGTCTCGGGGCGGTGAGAAGTGCCGCACTCCGGGAGGTGGAGACAGGGGGTTGGGGACGTAAAAACTTTTTAAAAAGTAAATGCCCAAGCCAACTTCGCGAACATCCAACAAAAGAATGAGAAAAAGCCGAGAGAGGGGAACCGCAAAATTGCTTTGCAAGCAATGTCCGGCACAATCAGCAACTCCTACCGGACTCTCCAGAGTTTACTTGCGCTCTTAACCCATTCGGAAGCTCCAACCAGAAGTGAGTCATTTAGGTCCACGATGCTGTAGTTAGGGGGGGAGGAATCAGGGCAGTGAGGTTTATTCGGAAACTCTCTTCTCCAGCCTTTTCAACTCTGTGTACGTATTTGTGTATTTTTATTTGCATTTTAGCAATCCCAGTCTACTAAGTTATTTAGATGGCTGGACATCCTCTACCCCACCCTCAGCCACACCTTGAAGGAATTTTAAAAGCTCTGAACCGGTGCCAGCAGGTACGGGAAGAACTAAAGAATGTTACCTGTTGAGACTGACCAGTGATGGAGAACGGTCCTCCAGCTTCCCACTTCACTTCCACTTCCCCCTTTTACTGTCGCACTCAACCGAGAGGGCTCCAGTCAAAAACGGCTATTGGAAAACTGCCTCGCTGGCAAATACAGGGCTCGACGAATTTAGGTCCGGAAGACGCAGATAAGATATCCCAGATCCCATAAAAGACCCTCAGTTTTAAAAGCCTCGAAGTCTTCTTGAACTCTGTCAGACTCTGATTCAAAGAGGACACCCGCAGTCCCACCCTAGGCAAATAATCCTGTGTTCAGCAACACTATTGGGAAACGAGGTTAGAGGCCTCAAGAAAGGGGTGGGACCCATAAAAAAGTAAAAGAAAAGCAGCGAAGTTTAGTCAGATGCCAGAGGTTTGGCACCAAAAATAGGGAAAACCACTACAGTATTTTCAGCTAGTCATCATGGAGAAATTGATGCCTCGGAGTCTGTAGGCTCTCCAGCCTCCAATCATTTCTTCTCATGGAGGTTCTAAATAGTTCACTTGGAAGCAATATGAACGTCCAGAGAGGAGTTTATGTAAATTATGGTGTTGCAAATATAATAGGAAAATGTTTTTAATAAAATAGTAACTTGTTAGGGTAAAGAAAAAACTGTACAGAACTGTACGTGCAGCTGTAAAAAAATCAAGCGTGTCTAGTTCTAATTATTAAGAGAAAAAAGAGTGAAAGGAAATACACCAAATTGTTAACAAGCTATCTGGGTGTTAAAATCAAGGGAGGTCTTTTTTGCCTCTCTATTTTTTATTTTCTAAAAATTCCAAAGCTTTGCATTCAGGACTTGTCTGTCACCACCTTTAATTACATCCAGCATCTCAATTTCTCTGGGCATGCCATTACCTTCACAGTGATAGACACAGCTGATAGAGCAGCTGCTGGACACCTGGACAGGAGCTTCAGGGGTTTCCTTTTGTGTTTTCAAATATCCCCAAATAAGACATGAGTTCTTTGAGAGCAGGGACTTCAAATTCTTTGTCTTGCCCACAAATTTACAAATACCTTGGCACAAAGAAAATGAAAGACATGCTAGGATCAAATCAACTCAAAAGGTTAGGAAACACTATGTCTGCCCCATGCAGATATTTCATTTTGGGGGGAAATCCTGGCTTTGAAATGTATGTTCTTATTTCTACACCTTATCCTCCGAAGATTTACGGCATTATATAATGATGTGCAAACTATGAGATAGCATACATTATAAAGGGCACAAAACAACAAGGAAAAAATGTGGGAAGTGGAGTATTAGAGACTTAAAATAGAGCCAGGAATGAGGCTGAGAATTGTACCTCAACAACTTTTGCAAGTGCTCCAGCAGGCTCTGAATGACTATGACTTCTTAAACATGCCTTTGTAGAACCAAAAATATCCACGTCCTTTCTGAATATTCCCTTTCCTTCAGACAGATTTGTCTAAGCCAACTGTTGTGTCTCAGAAACTCTGTCAATGCTCACATTCTAGTTCTCTTTTTCTAACACTCCAGTGAGTTACTTTCTGAACAACCTCCCACTACAATGCCTACTACTCTGACTGCTTCTGACTTCTGTGAATGTTTCCTACATTAGGATGGGGAGCTGGGAGCGGGGTGTTAATATTGCAAATATCAGTCCCGTTTCTTAGCATTTGAAACAGCTTAATTATAGCTTTACAAGCGACTTTACTAGCTTCAGATAATCAGCAGTTGGTGTTCTGGCCAACTGGAAGCACAGGGTAGGCAGTGACCCCCTACAAGAACTATTAGAGGAATAGTTAGGCTGAGTTGGGTGCAGCTGGTCCCTGTAGGCCCTCTTTGTGAGTGTTTCAAGCTGTTGCTTGCTTTGAAGATTAAAGAGGAGTCAGACTTGAATCTCTGAAACTGGGGATTTTTTTTCTCGATTATTGAGTGAGACCTTCAAATAACATTTCTTAAATGTTTACTTCCACCTAACGTTTCCCAGTGTGTTCAGATGTGGAATCTTAACTGAAATCCCCTACTAGAACCTCTAAGACAATGCAATACTTGTGGTACTTACATCATACTGAAAAGTAGCCGAGAACTCCAGTGTTTGGAAGAACAGCTCAAGCACTGAAAGCAGCAATATCCAAATAAGGTACCGAGCACTGGGCTTAGGTTTAGACCAAATGATACCTCACAGATCTGCCGTCAGATGCAGCCCTCCGGCTTGGTAGTCCGCAGGTTGACTCCAGCTTTTTCTCCGAGCCCACTTAAACTGTGCTTTACAGTCTTTAAAGGTTTGTAGCAAATATAACCACCGAGTTTGAAATACAGAGAGGTTGGGGGATAGGAGAATATAAGGGAAGGTTTGTGTGAGTATAAATGTGTAGAAGTATTTTAAAATGCGCTTAAAAATGCCATTTGAGGCCAGCAAGATAAAATGTAATGAATTGTTCCTGTCAAATACCAGGTGAGCAGAATTCTCTGTTTGTCTCAGGGATTACCAAAAATGGAGCTCCCTGTGAAAGCTACTAAGGAGGTAGAAATCAAGGGGCATGGAGTGTGAACTAAGAATGGGAAGGAAGGTTGCAGGGGCCACTTTTTTGATAGAAGTGGTATTCAAGGTGGAGAGTAAGGAAAAGTCTGGCAAAATGAGTGACATGGAAGACTTGCTTCAGGGTGGGGCTGTTTTGACACAGACCTAAAGAAAGCCTCTGAGATAAGACTGAAATCTCTACTTCAAGGGGAAAGAAATACACTCTTGTATTTACTGCTCTAGATTACAGAAAGAAGTTTGGTAGAAAATCATGCTAGTTGATCCTTAGAAGACAGTTTTTGAACAGCACGTCATCTTGTGAAATGTTCTGCCTCTGACAGAAATATGAACTGTTCACACACACACATACAAACAAGGTGGCTAAATGTGTGCTTAGCACAGTGCAGGGCACGGAGACATATCTATAGATGTATAACACATGTCACAAGCTCTTAAGGAACATGTTTCTAATATCGGAATATTTAAAACACCAGAAAGGCTATCCATATGCATAAAGAGTTAAATTAGACCTTAATACCATTTACAAAAATTAACTCAAAATGGATCATAGACCTAAATATAATATTTAAACTGTAAAATTCTTAGAAGAAAACTTAGGAGTAAACCTTTGTTACCATAGATTAAATAATGCCTTCTTAAACAGGACATCAAAACAAAAACAATGAAAGGAAAACTAAGTTGGGTTTTACCAAAATCAAAAATGCCAGTATTTCAAAGGACAGTAACAAAAATGTGAAAAGAGGCAGGGAAGGGCTAGGTAGGGAGTCGGTCATCAACATGCACACACTGCTTTATTTAAAATAGAAAACCAGCAAGGACCCACTGTATAACACAGGGAACTCTTCTCAATGTTTTATGGCAGTCTAGATGGGAGGGGAATTTCGGGGAGGATGGATATATGTATATCTATGACTGAGTCCCTTTTCTGCCCACCTAAAACTAATCAGGTATACTCCAATATAAAATAAAAACTTGTGTTTTTTTTTAAAATCTCATTTTAAAAATGTGAAAAGAGGGAATTCTCATGTGGTCCAGTGGTTAGGACTCTCTGCTTCCACTGCAGGGGATGCCTGAGTTCATCCTTGGTCCGGAAACTAAGGTCTCATGTGCTGCCGAGCAACTTAGCCCATATGCTCCTACTACTACTGAGCCCGCGAGCCACAGTTAGAGGCTGTGTGCCACAGCAAAAGATGCAACGAGAGATCCCATGTGACACCACGAAGATCCTGAGGGTGACAACTAAGACCTGGCACAGCCAAGTAATTCAGTTTAGAATGGGCAAATGATCTGAGTAGACAGTTCTTCAAAGAAGATGTACAAATAGGCGAAAAGCATGTAATGACATGCTCAACGTTATTAGGCATCAGGGAAAT